TACATGCTGCTGATTGTACATACTGATGATTATACATGCTGATGATTGTACATACTGATGATTATACATGCTGATGATTATACATGCTGATGATTATACGTGCTGATGATTTCTAACCCATAAGCTGCTATATTCATACCCATCTGCTCACAACAGACTCATGTTCAGGCTGCTGTTTAATTCACTGTATTATATTATTGTTGTTTAGTGTATATCTTAGATCCTTGTATACCGTTTCTTTTTTTATACTTTCTATTTTTGCTATTTTTGGATGTAACTAGGACCCTGCATACACAATTTTGTTCCACCTCATGTACCACATGTGATGCAAACAACAATAAAGTCTCTTCCTCCTGTTTTAACATGTAAACAGTACAGAATGATACAGAGTTCTTCTTTTTCATCATCAGGACTGTTTATTGCTCCTTGCAGCTTTCCTTTGTGTTGTTATTCAACATGCAGTGGATTTACTCATACTTGGTTTCAACAGCCAGCAGAGACCGTCTGTCCATTTCTGTTTGTCTGTCTTGGTTGAACTAGATATAGTTTGTACAAACAATTCAGGAGAAGAAATTAATCTATTTACTTTTACTTTCATCCTACAGGTTTGTCATGTGTTACACAGAATTAAAGGAAAAAAGCCACGATGAGCTGGAAGACTCTGCTCTGTTTTTGGAGACTGGCAGGACTTTACTGTCACAGGGCATCTTCCTCAGAAAGAGGGCGCTTCATCCGGTAAAACTTCTTCCAACTTATACAAAAACAACATGGCTTCAGATGAAACATGTTATGCTCATTTTGTTGCTCAGGTTAATAATGCATAACATCCTTTTACTTTTATAAAACAATGCATTTTAAAGTATATGCAAGTTTTAAACTTAAATCCTGTAATGCAAGAGTTAACTCCTACCCCCTGGTGCTGAGTGCTAATGTAGCAAATCCAGTGTCCGTTTTATTTTTGTAGCACTAAACGGACAACAAGGGATCCACCAAAGAATGACATAAAAGAAACATGCCATTTGATTTAAATAGTAACTAAAACTCAAAAACGGAAGTCAGTAAAAAGAAAAAGAACAAATGGTGATAAGAGAGATTTCCTAAAACATAATAATAATGACAACAACAACCTAATAATGTTCTAGAATTGTGTGGCTCAAGGTGCTGAGTGTTGGAGCAGCTCTGTTACATTCATTCTGATTTTGCTTTTGAAAACTTTTAATTCCTCTTTTTTTCTGGATGTAAATCACTTTTTTAACGATTGTTTCCTCTGGTATCGGATGCTGTGCAGCTGGAAGGATTTTTACTGAAACTTTTTGACTTTTGTACATTTATGATGCATAACCATGACAACAAGGTACTTTTTACAACCAGAATCAGCTGATTAACATCTCAAAGCTCAAATACCTCAGCTACAGCCCCAAATCCCTAATGAGTTGAAAAGGAGTACTCATTGATGTATTCCCGTCTACCTGGTGGCGGTGCTCGAGTACCTGACCACTGAGATCCTGAAGCTGGCAGGAAACTCTGCTTGTGACAGCGGGAGGACCAGAATCATCCCCCAGCATCTGCATCTGGCTGGTGACAAGGAGCTCGGCAGGCTGCTGGGAGGAGTGGCCATCACTCAGGGAAGAGTTCTGCCTGGCATTCGGACGGTCCTGCTGCTCAGGAGGACGGAGAAGCCCGCTGGGTCTGGGTGGACAGATTGGCATCTGTGTCCAGATTCTTCAGATCTGCTGTGGGAGATCCTTCCTGCCCACAGCCATCAGCATCTAGAACAACTCTGTAATGAAACCAGGATGATGATTTACAACATTGAATTTCCCTTTGGGCTTAATAAAGTATTTTTGAATTGAATTGATAAATGCAATGAATCGCAGTAAGTAGATCTAAGAAATGTCTATTTGGATACGTAAATTATTCTTTTTCGTTTGAAAGCCTGTATTATCTTGGAAAATTTGAGTTTGCTCCTCCTTGAATCACCACCTTATCGTGGTGGAGGAGTTTTTGCACCTGAATGATCCTAGGAGCTATGCTGTCATTGCCCTTGGTAGGGTCTCCCAAGGCAGATTGGTTCTAGGTGACAGGCCAGACAAAGAGCGATTCAGAAGATTTTTATGGACAAAACGAAACGAGGAACTTGGTGTTCCTTGCCCGGACGTGGGTTAACGGGGCCCTACCCTGGCATACCAAAGCCAGCTTGTGGGACATGGAATGTAACCTCTCTGCAGGGAAGGAGCCTGAGCTTGTGCGCGAGGTTGAGAGGTACCGACTGGATATAGTTGGGCTCACCTCGACACACAGCATGGGCTCTGGAACTGATCTCCTTGAGAGGGGTTGGACCTTATTCCACTTTGGAGTTGCCCATGGTGAGAGGCGTTGAGCTGCTGCAGGTCTATTTGTAGCCCCCCGATTTGGTGCCTGTGTGTTGGAGTTTTCCCTGGCAGATGAGAGGGTAGCTTCCCTTTGCCTTCGGGTGGGGGGACGGGCTCTGACTGTCGTTTGTGCCTACGTGCCAAACTACAGTTCAGAGTATCCGGCCTTCTTGGAGTCCTTGGCAGGGGTGCTGGAAGGTGCGCTAGCTGAGGACTCCTTTATTATGCTGGGGGACTTCAATGCCCATGTGGGTACTGACAGTGTGACCTGGAGGGGCATGATTGGGAGGAATGGCCTCTCTGATCTGAACCCGAGCGGTGTTCTGTTGTTGGACTTCTGTGCTAGTCATAGATGGACAAACACCATGTTCAAACATAAGGGTGTCCATAAATGCACTTGGCACCAGGACGCCCTAGGTCGTAGATCGATGATAGACTTCATAGTAGGAATGTGCGATATGGCATAAAATTCATATCATGATATGTATTGTGAAAGGTGGCGATAACGATATATATCGCAATATGTTTTTGGTTTAAAACTTGCAATAGGAATAAAAAAAGTATAGGGTGTTCTTTTGCCATCATATATTTTGAATTAAGAAAATTCCACAACTAGGTCCAGAGAGTTTTTAAACAATAAACAAATCAAGTATTGGGCTTCTTTCTTGTAGTGCAAAACAGGGCAAAAGATATCAAATGTAATTTTAGCCATATGTTTTAAACAAAATAATATGTTGGTAACTCTTAACAGTTTCCAGTCTTACTTAAGAAATGAACAGCAACAGAGCAGCATTTTACACTAGAGGATGACACAGGAGTGGATTTTCACTCTTGTCCTGTCCTGGTCCCATAGAAAAAATCCTGTCTTGTCCCAATCCTGGTAACATGACTCCTGCTCCTGTTCAGAAT